TGCAGTGGTTCCTAGCGAGGGCTGATCCCGACGGCCACCGCAGGGCTCACGTGATCGGTGCCTGGAGCGCGGCGGGCTTTGCCGGGGTCGGCCAGGGGGGGGGGGGGGGGGGGGGGGGGGGGGGGGGGGGGGGCGCGTGGGGGGGGGGGGAGGGAAGCACAGGTGTAAGAGCGGTCTTTAAAATGAAGGGATTTGGAAAGTAAGAAAAAGATCCTAAAGAAGAGGCTCTGAAAAAAGGGGAAGAAAAACTTGAGAGCGATAGGGACAGGATCTCTCCAGGATGAAGTTTTTACAAATGTTCAATAAATCTGTCCATACTTTAGGCTTTCTAGGTACTGGTAGATGTAAGTCTTGCCTTCTGTTCCCTTTACATCCATGCAAAAAGCATGTACTTTTTTTTTCTGCTTTGCCAACATTCAAAATGACTTAAGAGCATGGTTTCAAGCCTCACAGTGCTTTATTGAGGCTAAATAAAAGAACATGCCAGGAGAGAGAAAGCAAAATGGCTGTTGTACCCTTTCCCAAAATCCCCTCTCCACACTCCATGGAATAGTTTTCCCACTGTTGCATAGGAATGAATCCTGGTGGATTAACACATGTAATTAATGTAATACACCTTCAAAAAAGTGTAAGAACAATTACTGAAATAGATGCAGTTATAGAGGCATGGTTATCTTTTAGGGATTTCTGTACTTGGGTTAGCTAACCCAAATGCTTCATACAGCTACCCGTCTCCTGGATTAGAGAATGGAGATGAACAAGGAAGGAGTGGAAAGGTTGAAAACGGAGGATGGAAGGACTGTGACAACACATGCACTGTAGGGATTTGGGAATCTGATGATTAATAGACTAAGGGAGAAGGAGAACTAGTGAGTAAGAGGGAATTTTTGTGTAACGAAGAGAAAATTATGAGTGGTGAAAAAAATGGGAATTTGAGAGACTTTATATATTCATGTGAGAGCAATAGCTGAATGCCAAGGGACAGTGGGACTTTTTGAATGTTACAATAACACCTGTAGATATTATTATAGATATTCTTCAGAATAATATCTATAAACTCTTGACATTTGTATTTAAGAATTTTATACCTCTCGCTGTCTGAATCTGCCTGAATCTGCAGAACTGATGTTAAATTGTACTTCAGGTCATCTTCTGCGATTCCTGCTCTGTTGGTGGCCTTTAACCCTGAAATTAGTCAATGAGTAAAGCCACCAGCATGGCGCCAGGACCAAAGTAATGCCTCAGAGGAGCCAATGCTAATGTTTTTTGAAGCATTTGACAATTTTGTTGGCCAAACATAACTCTGCTGTCCAACCAGAGGCCCGAATATTTGGGCTGCCCAGTGGACTGAGATGACTTAAACATTTGTTCATGGATGATGTGCAGTAATAAATGTTACACTTCCACTTATTGCCTGCATCTCTACAGGCAATGACTGTTACACATCTAAGACATCCTTTGATAGCCCCTCCTTAGTGGTGCCTCTGGAGCTGGGCAGACCCAGGATGTCCTCATCCCAAGGGAGAATGAAGCTGTCCAGTCTGTGGGCTGCATGCTCTCCATTATGCCGCCCCACGCCCCTATTTTGCACTTCTGCAAACACTCGATCCTTCTTGTCCTCTCCAGTGGCATCCTCAGCTCCTACGAAGCCTTGTGATGCAACCATCCCTTCTCCTGAGGTGGGGAACTATGAGAAGGATATAGATGAATAGGATATATGTAAAATTGTATTTTCTTCTAATTTTTAATCATTTGGAAATTAATAACATTAGTCAAAGTAGGAACCAACTTCAGGTATTTATTTCTTCCCCTTTTAACGTAGCTTTAGCTCAACCATCTTACTCTGTCTGTCACAACAAAATATAGTAACTTCATCATTTTCAGTGTCACCTGGGCAGCTGGGCTAACAGCGTGCAGACTTTTAAAAAGCAGTCTCTCTTGTTAAGTGAGAACAGTTGCTCAGTAAATTCAAGTGGATGGCTGTTCAAATGTGTATATTGAAGACCACAGTGAGTCTACCCTTCATTGAGGGACTGTGCTTAAAATACTATACTAAAATAAACATGTATAGATGCATATATACACCAATAAAAATGGTAATGATGCCATAAGCATTCAGCTTGCCCTAGTCTACTGTAGAATATTTGGTCTAGATTTTAGATTTCTCAGTAGCTTTGTGTCAGTGAGACTAATGGTTCTTGATGACATCAGTGCGCATGTAGATGAATATCCTTTGTTGGGTCAGCAACTGGTGAGAATTTACAACTGTTGCAATCTGGGTTGAATACACTTGTTCTAGAAGAGAAGGATGATAGGACCTTTCACATGAGGAAATTCTTCTGAATTGCTTAACCCCCATTTTAGATGGCTTCAGGCATTGAACTAAAAATATTTTCATGATTCTAATGGTGATTTTCACTAGATGTTATTAACAACAAGTTGTCTATCAGTCAGTTCAGCTGACTTGAGTTGATGAGTGCTCTGTTGCTTGCAAGGTATTCTTAACTAGCCCACAGCCCTCAGTAAGTGTAGAGTAGACAACTTTTTGCCTCATTCTATGACTATTCCTTGCCTCCTCTTCTTTCCTCATACTCAAAGTGGTATGGAAATCCGTGAGAGGTTTAGAAGTGAGATACTGGACTAGATGCTGTCACTGTGCTGACAATGCACGACTCTCCATTCCCTGTGTCTCCTCTTCTGTGATTCATATTTGCTTCAGTAGAAAAGATAATTCAATGTCTGCCAGAGACTTGGAGAAGAGCTATCTGGTCAGCTAACATTGCAGTAGCAGAGTGGGGGAAAAAGGAGAAAAAATGGTTCTGCGTCAGCACCTTTGATTAATGAGTTTGATCACTATCTGTGACACATATTTTAGATATGCAGGCTACTTCTGCAGATAGAAACATATGCATCAGAAGCAAATAAAGAGGTGTTTTCAACTACATTTAGGCAAATTCTGTCACCTTTTTGTCAGCAAACCCTTCTCCAGTTGTGCACATCACTGTTGTATCTCAGTTACATTTTTGCAGTACAGTCTGCAGTCAGCTACTCTGAAGCTAGTCCAGATTCTTTCTTGAACAGAGAGTCATCTTAACTGAATATAGTATGTTTGTTCAAGAACTATGCCAAATTGTAGCATGGAACTTTAAATATTGAACTACAGCAAAACAAATGTCATGTTCTGCGAGCTTTCAGATACTACAAGTCACTTTCACGCCCTTTACATATGGTGTTTATTAGCAGAGTAAATTTGAAAAAAAAAATGAATCTGGATCTTATTGGTTTTTCAGAACAAAATAAATCTCCATTTTTTTAATCTCATAACTTTATCTGAAAATAGCAAAGTATAGGAACAATTATAAATATGAAGGTACTGAGTGAATGAAAACACAGGTATAAGTCACAAACAAATGCTGTTTTGAAGGATCCAACAAATATCATTATTTTAAAATGAAAAGTTCAGAAATGATAACTTCCATATTCAGAGGACAGATATCTTTTTATTAAATGCTATAATAGGGCTTAATTTAAAAATAATTTTGTTTATTCAAACATACTGTTAACTGTTTTGCTTTAAGAGACTCCTTCAAATTCCATGGCAAATAATTTACCTTTTTAACATAAGCTAAAAATTTTGCTTTTTAATGTGTTATACATGTCTTCAGAGACAATGAGGGAGCCCGTAGTTTGTTTTAGGGGAAGAAAGTAAAACTCCACTGACACTTAGGGGGTGGTTCTTGTTATAATAGGATTGAATTTGACCAAGCTATTTTATAGTGTGAAGTATGACTGTAGAAATAGACTCTGCTTATTCAGTGGATCTGCTCCTTGCATATAATACGTGTCATATCTACTCTGTTGATTAACAAGATCTGTTTGATATAATCCTTATTCATTAAACCTGAAGAAAAAAAAGAGTGTCCGTGAGAGATCGTAGTATATTTTTCCCAATTTTATTTTCATCATCAACAGAGCTGTTAAATGAATTTAATTTGTATGAGCTGCTTAATTCTTCAGAGACATAAACCAACAGCATAGTTTCATATATTTCAACATTCAGAAGCCACTACCTTAAGATTAAAAAAAACCCCAAAACTTTCATGCAAACAATTACATTTGCTATCTTCATCTTTTTATTTAGGAAAATTTAACTACATATATTTCAAGTGATGAATTTCCTTAAATGAAAGAAAGCACATGACTAAAGTTAGAGACTTGCACAACAATGTGTTATAACAGTTAATCTTAACGGGCAAGTTAAAAATTGAAGCCAATAACGATGAATCGTCAGCATTATACATGTGTGAATGTAACAAGAAAGATCAAGAAGCTTTGAAAATGAATGAGCTGTTGCAGTTCCAGTTAGTTGTTCAGTCATTTTTACAATGAAAAAAAATCTGACAATAGTGTTAAGTTCAATAAGTAGAATATGATCAATCAGAACTATGAAAATTGAAAAAGATTATAGACATTAGACAGCAAAGAAATCTGGCATCTTTCTTTTTGTCATGGAATGATACACTAAAAATTAAAAATGTGCTAAATAATTTGGCTGATGTGCCAAATAATTTGAAATACTTTAACATGACATTATGATTTAAATGCAAAAAATATAAGACAAATGCAGAGGTAAAAATAGAATTTTTATGAAGATATAGAAATAAAAATACTCATCCCTCTCTAAGAAATTATTGTAGTCATTAAGTCACATACTGGTTATGACTGTTAGATATACCTTGAAAAATATTTTGTAGAATTATGCATTAATTAAGCTTAGTCATGTTCTTTTTGGAGAAATAATAAAGATATTTCTTTATTAATAACAATAATAATAAAGATATCTCTTACCTCAGCTGCACTATTTCCGTACATGAGCAAACAATATTACATTCTATATTTTCAGCTCTGATGAAATGCTAATTGTCCAAAAATATCCTGGCCTCCTTTTTTTTAAAAAAAAAAGAGGTGAATCAAAATGAGCAAATCTTATTCCACTTTGTAAGATAAAAACTGTTTCAATGAAAACATTTTCAAGAAAAGTCTCAAATATATACTTTCTCTGCTTATCCTCAAAATATTATTTAATTTTATTTTATTCCATCATCTTCTCTCCTTCCATCTGCATCACAGTCTCTAGGTTTTTCCCTCAGAAAGACTTTTCAGCCCTATAATTAGCCCAAGCATAATGAACATGGTAATACTCTTCCTGGTACACAAACTAAGCTCACTAACAGCTACTTTAGGTATTGCAGCATCACGCTGCATCATAGTACCCTGTGAACACACTTGCAAAGCGCATTTTTTTCCAAAAGTGCTGAGCAGCATTAACTTGCAAGATGCTAAGCGTTCTGCTCCTGATTGCTCATGCTGGGGTGTAAATACACTCAGTGCCTCCCTGTGTGCCCAAATAAGAACAAATCAGAATTCTGAGCACAACATTTTGACCACGGCATCTTACTTCATTATTACTAAGTTCAGAAATGTACTTAGAATATTTATCAAATAGTTGTATTTGCACACGGATATGATCAGCATATTTTATTGTGTCTTTCAGTCTCGAAGACTGAAAATATTTTGATGTAATGTCAAAATGAAAAATATACAAATTTATTTTCACAATGCACGTATGCATATGCTATTGATAAAATGATATTGATGACAAGAAATCTGCAGTGGCAATTGTGGTTAGAAAGCAGAATATTTCTTTAGAGATTGTCTCATTTTTCTCTGATGAATGCAGCATGGAAAATTATCCATGCCTTTTATTTTCACAAAACGATTTCAGCTTTGGTCAGTTACACCAGTCAACTTCCTCCAGTAGGTTTATCTGGTGAGCAGACAAGTGATATTAATAGCTTAAAAGTAATCTGAACTTAAACTCCTGCATTTTGTATAGGATAAACTGGATACGTTTGGGTTTTGAAATGTACCTGTTTTGAAACAGGTATATTTGTGTTTTGAAATGTACCTGATAAAAATTTTTACTTTTTATCACCATGAGGAAGAAGTTTTTTAGGACCTCTGAACTAAGAACTTCAGGTTCAAACTCTTGTGAATAAGAAGCACAAGCGATATGAAATAATGGGGTTGTACAATATGTACAAATGATCGATTTTATTTTTTCAATTTGTAATCTAAACCTTTTTAAGATACTGCTTTACCAAAAAAAGTTGCACTACTCTGTCTTTTTCCATAGCCCAATATCTAAGCAAAATATTTGATATAACATTGACTCTTCTCAATAGCTTTTTCTGGCCAGTAACCGTGGGACAGATTTATCAATAGCATAAATTTAGTAGACTTTTGACACCTTATGGTAACTAGCAACTTGATCCAAATGCAAGACTGATGATAAAAACAAATTCCTCGCAGAATGTAGAAAAGGGTGTAGTCAAACTGATATTGACAATATGAAGTGAATTACAACCCAAGTCCTTATGCTCTATCAAACTGAGGAATCAATGCCATAGACAACAGAAGAGAATAAGAATCTTGTAGATGTAATCACAATAATAAGGAGAACTAGAGAGAACAATGGGAGAAACGTGATGATATTTAACTATACTTTCAAAAGATATAAAGATGTTCAGTTAGTTCATCTTTAATATCTTTGTCTTTATTCTGATTTAGGAGATCGTGGTTAATGCGAGATATGAGTTCTCCTAT